ACGCTCTCAGAGACGCTGGAAGACTCTGAGAGACTAAAAATTTTTGTCTAGGATAGGTACCTAGTTTTAAATCAATCAATAATTGACAAATTGGTAAAAGGCTTACGCGGCCAGTACGTCAACTCATCAATTCAATCAATAATCATTTTGAATCTCATCGTTTCAATAAAAAAGTTAACTAGTATATTTGCAAAATGTCTTGTACACATGAAATTGTACATGTAAATGTTTCTTTGTTATTTAATAAAATGCACTGTGATAACAGAAAAAAGTAGATAAGCTATGAGAATATGTACCCTGTTATTTATAAATGTATTTATTCACATTTTTCGTTGTAATATACAGCAATTTCGTTCATGAAACGGGAATTATATGAAAATTGTTCTGTTAGACGTCCAATTCACCCTGACTAATAGGCAATTAAGCAATGGCACAGGTAGCGAGTGTACGTTTTAGTGACCATTAAATATCTTTATTCGTACTTTTGCAGATATAAATGATTATCTCTGGAATATTGTTTATAACTACCGTTTTGAACTTCCGCAGGCTAAGCTAACGAAAAATGAAACAGTAGGTAAATGGTGAACACATGTATTTGCCTTATCGCTTAGTTATGGGCATTAATTTAGCATTCCTCTGTATAACTTCTGCACGATTTTGTCGTAAATTAAACTATAACGGTAGGGTATTCAGGTGAATTTTAAATAACCTGATAAGGTATAATATAATATAACAGTACTGCAACAGAATAATGAGACACGGCGGAAACATCTGTGTTAAATTGTTGAAAATATAAGTAACTACATACTTCTTTGCATTTAGATATTGTCATCATCTTCATTTTTCATATATATATATATATTAAAAGATGATAATAGCCAATATGATTGGCAGCATTTAAATAAGTTGTTTCGTTTTTTAAATTCATTTTAAAATAAGTATGTTTGAATAAGCGATAGGCCCACTAATGCATTAGCAGCTACGTGCTATTCTTCGATCGAATCTAAGTTTAGATTTTAATTTTAATTAATGCGAGCTTTGACATATATAAGTAGCAGACCAAAACTGTCCAACAACTATTGACTAAACACTTCAATAATTTTAGAACTTATTAACGAAAATACATTACTACATACTGCTTAGTAATAATAAGTCCTTAATTCTCAAGTTTTCTTTAAATCGGCAACGAATTTTTCAAGTGAAATTTGTTTGTATCTCTTAGTAATTAATTTAGACATAAAGTAGAACTTTAAAGTTTGCTTAAACGTCTCATCAATTTGATCGTTAATTATAACGCCTGATTAANAATAAGTCCTTAATTCTCAAGTTTTCTTTAAATCGGCAACGAATTTTTCAAGTGAAATTTGTTTGTATCTCTTAGTAATTAATTTGGACATAAAGTAGAACTTTAAAGTTTGCTTAAACGTCTTGCTGTCACATTTATTTACGATGTACTTACAATACCTACTAGTATGCGATGATTTGATAAGAGAAGCTACATACGTTTTGCGAAAATAAACACTGCCAAGGATTTTTCTATTTCCCGATGCTCTCAATTAGTTTGAAAACAAGTTAACTTGAGTTATTGCAAACTTCCTTGTTTAACTTTTTGTAGAAGCCAAAATTAATTTGATCTGCTATCATCTTATAAGAATACACAATAATATAATGGAAACATGCAAAAATAGCCTACCTTCTTCGACGACTTGTTGAAACCATTTACAAAACAACGTAGAAATATTCTTCACTCGTAGTTGTAGATAATCCTAGATCAGTAAGCTCAGTTTTTAAACAGTTTATCACTTTGACAATTACACATTAGATGAACGGTAACAAATATCGTAATCTGCAAATCACTTCGAATTAATACTGTTGTGACTATCTCAATATTGTCTGTGCTTTGAGCATGTCCTATATTCATCTGCTTATCATTTTAACTTTTCAAGGATTGTGAAAGCACTTTCGGACGCATACGACCTCTGACAGATAAAACAATAAGCATTTGAAACATCGCAATGTAACAAAATCAGTGGTGTAGCATACAGTATTGTAACGGGCAGGGAAATATCTACAATTGTTGTAGATATGTAAAACTAAAACAACGTAGAAAATTCCAGCAATTTAATAAAATCCTGATAAGTTTCGGTCATCTAAATTTGTTGCTTTTACTAATACCGCTAAGCAGGATAATAATATTATTAAGATCTGTGCGATGATTTGATAAGAAACAATATTATCTATGTTTTTTATATGCTCTGTAATTCTAACCCTAACAGACCTACCACTTTGTCCAATATACCAAGCATCGCAAGTGCTACAAAATATTTTGTAAATTCCACTTTAAAACATGTAATTTTGTTTTAAAATATTGACAATGATGAATTTAAACAACAATTATTATTTTCAACTGGTGTTTGCCAAATTGGACAAACTGGTAGAGTAATTAAGGTTAGAATTACAGAACACTATTAAAAAACACAACAAAACTATTTTATCCGATGTATCTTATCAAACCATCACATAGACCTTAATATTATTATTGTCCTTATTAGTAAAAGCAAAATATTGTTTCTCCTGGAAAATCGTCGAGTGACTGAAACTTGTCAGTATTTACCAATTAGAACTTCAACCTATTTGTTATAGTTTTATCTTAATTTTCTGTAAAATAATGTATAGGTAATTTAGAATGACATGAAGCTTTAGATGCGATCCTTCTTGCATTCATATTGTACATTATGAAAACATTGACTCGGCTGTTAACCGAGTGTCTCGCTACACAACCAGGATTGTACGGTAAATTATGACGGTATGACGGCGGATGCATTGAGGTGGTCAATGTACATGTCATTCTAAATTACCTCTACCATTGTTAATACATACCTAAATGAAGAATAATGAACTGGAACAGTGTGAAACTTCATGAAATGGAAGAAGTAGTCATTAATAAACATTACTCCTTTATTTACATCCATTAATACTTTTTAACCTCTTATTATATACCATATCACATGTTGATATCATAGTGTGAGACTGACATTATTTTTTTTTTCAAAATAACATGATATTCGAATACAAATACTGTAAAAGTCTTTGACACATGGAAAATTCAATTAGTATAGTACGCATTTATATAATATTCTATGTATAGTAGATACTCATTACATATTAATCGTTTACATTTAGTCGTAGATACTGATGTAAAAATTCATGATGATTTTTTATAAAATAAGTTCAATTGCCTTTCTATTTGTTTAATATCATATTAAATTCCCAGGTTTTTGTACGTATGAAATCAAATAAATAAATAATAATTGAGTATTACATTAAAGTTCACTCATATACAGATAAGTACATAGATAGTTATTTACAAATACAAATTCATTTTCGTTAAGTGGGTGCTTACCTTCTTGCGAAGTTTCTTTCGCGATATAATTTGATACAACCAAAATAGACGTTCTTCAACTACCAGTAAGTTTTTTTCTGTTCCACGAACATTGTACCTACCCAAGTAGGCAATTAATTTGAAATTTCCATAATAAACAGTACTTTTTGATTTAATTTCCATCACATATATTTAATTATTTATCTAATACTTTTCACGGTTAGCACATTCATTTGCAAGGATGTCACCAGTCAGACGTTTGGGATTTTTTCAGTAGCTTCATTTGCTCGACACATTTACACGAAAAATGTTTTGAGTCAGCATCTCTGCTTCAGTTCTCGTCATGTCGTAAGTAAAATGGTAATTCTCATGGGGTTGCGTCTCTAATTTGCTGCAGTGTCGGCTAACTGACGATCATTTGCTGTCGAACCAGAACCATTACTGTTAGACACAAGACTATGCACAAATACAAGTGATCTTGTCTATTGGTCGTGGAACAACAGCCTGTAACCGATAATTTAAAGCAAAATGCAAGTTAGATAAAGTGCAAAGTACAAAGAGGGTAGAAAAATCATCCTAATGCAAATTTGTCATATTTATTATACTACTAGCTTTTCCCCGCGGCTTCGGGAATTATATGAAAATTGTTCTGTTAGACGTCCAATTCACCCTGACTAATAGGCAATTAAGCAATGGCACAGGTAGCGAGTATATATTTTAGTGACCATTAAATATCTTTATTCGTACTTTTGCAGATATAAAAGATTATCTCTGGAATATTGTTTATAACTACCGTTTTGAACTTCCGCAGGCTAAGCTAACGAAAAATGAAACAGTAGGTAAATGGTGAACACATGTATTTGCCTTATCGCTTAGTTATGGGCATTAATTTAGCATTCCTCTGTATAACTTCTGCACGATTTTGTCGTAAATTAAACTATAACGGTAGGGTATTCAGGTGAATTTTAAATAACCTGATAAGGTATAATACAATATAACAGTACTGCAACAGAATAATGAGACACGGCGGAAACATCTGTGTTAAATTGTTGAAAATATAAGTAACTACATACTTCTTTGCATTTAGATATTGTCNATACTTAAACCTAGACAACATTACGTTTAGTTGTCAGTTGCGTTTTGTTATACCATTTTTAACAAATGAACGGCTAGACTGATGATTTGATTTATAAATTTTTCGTTTTGCTGTCATTTACGTTTTGTCATTCCATGTCAGTTGCGTTTACATATACCACGTTTTTCCCGTGGAACGTTATAAAAAGTATCCTATGTCCTTCTCCCGGTTGTAAGCTACCTCCCCACCAATTTTCAGCCGAATCGGTTCAGCCGTTCTTGAGTTATAAATAGTGTAACTAAAACGACTTTCTTTTATATATATAAATTCTGTTACGGACACGGAATATTAGGGAACATTAATTGACACCAACATTATAAAAATGCTGTTGAATTACACAACTATTTATTACCATTAGAAGTTGACTCCATTAGTAGAATAGATGCTGGTTGTGGTTTAGGAGATTCCGGTTTGACTGACACTTCAATACTGCTAGCCCTGTAAAGTCGAAAAACCGACGCTTCACATTTTAGACGTACTAACACCCACGTTCCACCTGCTCCCGTTAGTTCTAATTTTCCTGTGGCTGTTTCCAGGAGATCTTTGTCTATTCTAATCGATGTTGAAGTTGAACCAGGTACCTGGAAGATTCCGAGTTAGTTCGCAACTGTTTCTCTTGAATAATTTAAATAATACATTGTTTAAATAAGTAAATATGTGAAAGAAGCATTGAATCCATTCAATGTTATAAAGTACGTAACAAAGCATTGAAAAGTTTAATTAAAAGGCATGATAAGGTCGTCAGTCCTAAGACTGGTTAGACACGCACGTCCACTCTTTCCTATCCTCAGCTAATCTTCGCATTTCCCTAAAACTAGAACATCCCACAGCTTTAACTATTTATGAGTAGTAATCTCTCCCTTTTAATTCCTGCTTCAGTTTCTAATATGGCCCTAGCTAGGCCCTTTATGCCTCAGGAGGTGTTTTACCAACCCATCTCGCATAAAAAACTCTAGCTAAACTTCAAACTTTCTATAACTATCGTCAGCAAAAGTCGTGTACACGTTTGTGATTTTTGCGTTTTAATAGACAAAGGTTACGATATACTCTACAAAATAATTGAAAAAAAAAACTGAAATGGAAATGGAGAATGTTTATTCATGAACCTTTGTGGTGAAATCACAACAGAAGGCTCTGGGATTTATAAATATTCGCTACTTTTGTTTTACTAAAATGCAGAGTATGAATGCACACGGAACAGTGTAGTGCACACCTACTACAGAAAAAACTATTTTGATTTACTGTACTCGTAACAGTTGAACTTTCCTGCAACAGGAAGACCGATAAGGCCGCTATTGTTAATCTCCCTATTAAATTTTCATGCGGAAATTGCTGTCCTTTTCTGACGAATGATAAAATTGAAAAGCAAAAAGTACTTTTGCAATTAATATTTGTTGGGCGACCAAAAAACAGAAAATTAGGACAATTGACAATAAATAGCACATAGGGCATAAAGATTGTCTAAAGAAGAATTTATCTGCCACATTTTACGATGACATCCTTATCCCTATTTCTATAAAAAGTTATTGACAATCTGTCATGTCAATTAGTTAGTTTGATGAGAAACGACTACAAGGCGATTAGGTCGATTGCAAACGAAGAAATGTACATAATCTATGGGATTAGACACATAATTTTATTATGTAGAAATGCAGGCTGAACGTGCAGGAAACCGGTCAGGTTTCGGCGATCCTATGAACCCGAGGAGGATTATTGGTATCGAAGTGCAATAATTTCGCTGAGAGAGAGACTAGTCCTACGGGATGTCTGGAGGCCCCAGGTAGAAAATCTTCCGGCCTGCCCGATCGTCTAAAGTTAGAATCCTATTGGTATTTAATGGTAAACAGTGGCATACGTAGTTCTTAGGCTTTCACGGCCGGCGTCTATCGATGCTGTGTTTTCTTCCGGGCATTTTGGCCGTGGTCCGTGGAGTCTTGCTTTTCCCGACGTTTCGCCGTTGTTTGCTGACGGCATCTTCAGTGGTGACTGGGCAGGTAACCCGTTCTCAAACTGCATCAGTTACGACTCAGCACCTGCCCAGTCATCACTGAATATGCCGTTAGCAAAGAACGGCGAAACGTCTGGACCACGGCCAAAAAGCTCGGAAGAAAACACATCATCGAGTGGAATACGTACAGAATAAATGCTTCAATGACGGCATTTTTACTGGAAAAACATCGACAAATTAATTAATTAACCAGCACTCTGTATTTACGATACTGCAGACGGTGATGATGGCAGCCGCTCATCTAATAGTTAGCTGACAGTACCTGTTTAGTTTGTCTTGCATAATGAACCTGCTTTCGTATGTTACGATAAATCAGATTTGCGATGACAGACATTGGGGTTAACGGCACGTTGCGCGAGATGGTATTACTCCACTCAAATCAGCTGTTATTCCAGGTAAAAGGACTCACATCAAACTATCAACAGTCCGTAATGGGACATACAATATTACACATACGAGGGGGCGTCTTTAAGTTCGCGGAATGGGGGATAAGTGAAAATAAAAGTACGAATTTATTTTTCCCTTTCAATATATTTACCTGCTACCCTTACACATTTTCCGATCTTTTAATTAACTTAACGTATACCTTCGAAAAAAATGTTTTGTCTTTGTCTGAAAAATACGCTGAAACTGCATCCTTCACGAAGACTTTTTTCAAGTTTGGGAATAGGTAATTATCGCTGGGTGCTAGGTTAGGACTGTAGGGTGGGTAAGCCAAAATTTCGAAGCCCACCTTCTCCAAGGCAGCCATTGCTACACGGCTCTTGTGAACAGGCGCGTTGCCGTACAGAAGGAGGACATTTTCGGTCAATTTTCCTCTTCTTTTTTCTTTCACTGCTTACTTTAACCGCTCTAGGATTGAGGCATTGTATTTTCCGGTTATGGAGACACCTTTATATTTATAATCGATCAACAGGGTCCCTTCTGAGTTCCAAAAGACTGTCGCCGTGCTTTTCCCAGCCGACTCTGACACCTTAAACTTCTTGGGTGGTATTGTACCTTTTTATGCCACTGCATAGAGTCCTGTTTGGACTCAGGTTTATAATGATGAACCGAAGTTTCGTCGCCAGTAACAATTCGAGCCAATACTGCATCTTTATCTGCATTACAGAGGTCCAAAAGCGCGCGAGAACACTCCACAAGATGTTGTTTTTGAGGAGGAGTGACCATTCTCGGTACCCATCTTGCGCTGACTTTCGTCATGCCAAAATGATCGTGAAGAATTTTAAAAATGATTGTAGCTGATACTCCTACCATTTCTGCGAGCTGTTTCTTTTTAAGTCAGGCATCTTCCAGTATTAATTTTTCGACTTTTGTTTTCCGGAGTGGTCATCTCGACCGGGAGGCCTAGCCGTGAGTCGTCTTCAAGTGAGTCCCTGTCTTGCTTAAAGAGGGTATGCCACTTGTAAACCATGGTTTTACCCGGGCAAGAGTCCCCATAAACAGATGAAGTCTATTCCAGTACGTTTTGAACTGATTTTCTTTGCTTGGTAAGCGTCGTACTCGATTTTCTCCATATTTCCCGATTGACTTGTTTCGTCGACGATGGTTCAAAGACTACTGTCCTAATTACTATAAAACTCGGTATTTATGCTAATAATGAGTTGCTTAATTCGTAATGACTCGAGTAAGCACCCTCACAAATGACCTACCTAACCATTCCACGAACTTAAAAACGCACCCTCGTATGCATTATGTTAAATACAGCTCATCTTTGAGGAAATGATATTTTTCATTTTAAGTCACGGAAAAGTTGTTTCTCGTCATCGCTTCTAAACTATTAGTGTCAAATATTTATAAGAATTAATTTCAAATTAGGACAAATAAAACAAATCATACCTAATATAGTTTGACCTAGGCAAAACCAGTTTATTCTGACGTCGGGTTTATTTTGTAAGTAGCAAGAGACATATGCGTAGGTAATATTACATTCTAAATATCGTATTATGCTTTATACACTTAGTACTGTATTTCTATATGCAATAAAGCTATAAATAATATTAATTGTAATAATACAGCAAGTCCTGCTTCAGTTCAAACAGGATGATCGTAGTGCGATGTTCAGCAATCGAGTCGTTCCGATATAAAAGCGGAATCAGCAGGATAATATGGTCTAAACCAAACCGCTGCATGGTCTTTCATGTGTGAATTGTAAATGTTCGTTGTCACGTATTCGAATGTACATGATTCAGACAGTCGGACATTTTAACGAATGGAAGGGTAGCAAAACCGAATAGGTAGGTGCATATCTGTTTCCGCACTCGCTCTACAATTATACGAATGTATTATCGCCAACGATTAGATCATATGCGGTTGAATCTTATTCGGTAAAATTTAATTCATGCAAGTTGTTTAGGTTTAGCTAGTGGTTCACGTCTAATGCTATTAATGGACAACCTCAACTGGTGGATTTTAGTTAATTATTCAGGTGTTAATAAAATCAAGGTAGCATTTTGTTACTGCCAATAGAACTTGTAATGGCAGGAAAATTATGAAATGTATATCTATCTGTCCTACAGCAATAAAAACTGTGGTAAAGGTCTAGATGATGGCTCCTTCGGGGGATCGAAAGAGGAGGTCTCCCCCACCATTGTACTATAAAAAGTTCGTGGCAGTCTCACCCCCATAAAAAGTTATGGGGGTTCAAATGTTAGAAGCGTTCGAAATGTGGTGTTATAGGCGGATGATGAGGATATCGTGGGTAGAAAAGGTTAGAAATGAAGAGGTATTGGAAAGAATAGGAGAACAGAGGACTCTATGGAAGTCAATAANCACAAATCAAACACTGGGGTGTGCTTATAATTCTTCTTGCACGCCGTACAGCCTACCTAATTATTATCGTTATTCGCGATACTGATATTCGCCTTCATTAATATTCCTTTAAGTGTCACTGATTAACAAAAGATTCTTCATGACCAACGATTAAATATCCGACGTTCCGCCACTCCAGTCTACCCTGCTGATTAAGAATTATTTCTTAATTTACAAAGACGAAAACGTTTGGTTCACATCAATGATGAGCAAAAACAGAGGACCAAGACATTACTAATATAATCTTGGTCTTGACCTAGCACATTTGGTCTTGGTATTGGACATGATATTTTACAACTGACGTTTCGGCCTTTTAGGCAAGATCCCTAGACGAAAATCTTCAGTCTCTCCCCAGTCTCTCAGAGTCTTTCAGCGTCTCTGAGAGTGTCTCTCAGTTATTGCCTAGGATCTCTAGCAGTCTCTGTATGAAAGCCTCGAACGATAAAATTGTTAATTCAGAGATTCGAGTCTCTCACAGAGAGACTGAATGAATAAAACTGAAACACAGAGAGACTCGAGTCTCTCGTAGAAAGACTGGGATCTCTGAAATGTGTTGAACTTAGAAAATTTTAACCATATCTACCGAGACACCACTTATTTAGAGATACGAGTCTCTCGTTCAGAGACGCTAAACAGTTTTTTTGACAGTTTCTGTCAGCGACACCTGGTAGACTCGATGAGAGACGAAGACTCGAGTCTCACTTTCAGAGACTGTGAGAGACTGAACATATTTATCTCGGGCCGCTTTAATATTTAAGTAAA